AGTAATTGCAGACACCATTAGGAGAAAAATAATGATGGAACCAAATTTTGAAGGATGAGAAGGAATTATTGAGCTGGGCAGGATAAAGAGGGGGAATAAATTCAAGAGTAAAAATTATCCGTATAAATAAAAAGATGCAGGTGCATTGGGTTTGTTTGGAGTAAAGGATGCAAGTGTCACTATGGCAAAAAAATGAGCCAAATAAGTGGTGATCAGATGCCAGAACACAAAAGATTTTATGTGCCAAGTCACAGTATCTGAACCATATCCTGAAGGCTATGAGACTTCATCTACAAGAAATTGTGTGATAAAATTAGCACATCCGAAAGATAGCCTTAACCGCAGAGCTACGATTACAGAGTTGGGAAAATAGTAGAGCAGGTTTTTCTGAGGCATGGAAACATCATCAGAATGTTTGGAATTTAAGGGTGGGGAGTTACATAAAATAGAGACCAATTTGGAAAGTTAAAGAAAAATGCAATATTGAAAAGATGTAGAACAGTGAAGTGAAAAGATAAAGATTAATAAGGAGATTTCAGGAAGTAGAATCAAAAGGATGCAGTAATTAATTGATGTGCATTGTGGGAAATAGAGACATATATGGCAACTTCACATTTGAGGTTTGGATAAATAAAAACATGCTGGTGCCCTATCATAGATCTTGGTTAAAGAAGTAAAACATAATGTATAGGGAAGAATAAAGTGAAAGAGGTTAAACTGAATATCTCAGCAGCTACTATAACATCTTTCTACATCAGGAGATGGTGAAAACAATTTCACAGATATCTCCCTCATCTTTAAAGTTCCTCATACAGGGTCAAACCAAGGTTTGTGCAGAACACAACAACCTGTCTAAAAACAAAAATTAAACTTTAGAGTAAATTTGGTACTTAATTCTTATTTGCAAAATAAATTACTCTTCTAAAGTTATTTTTGTTACCTCAAAAGACACTCTAAAATTAATAATAGATAAGGTGATAAGTACGGGCCTAGTGGGCTACCTGCCCAGAACTTGAAAACAAAATTACCCTACAAATAACAAACTGATAAAAACAGCACATAATGGCTTCAGCCCCAGTGTCACACCAGACCTCCCAAGCTACAGGGTCTGTGGGCTCCTCATCTATCAATGTAAGGCTCTCCCAGCCACCAAAATCATGGGACACTGCAACCACTGCCATAGCCCCCTAGATATTGGTAGCCTCCACCATGGGACACCAGACAGGGCCTCGAGGTAGCCACCCACTTCACAACACTACATCTGCCACAACGCTACGTCTCCCAACAGGCTGCCCAACAACACTGTGCAGCCTGCCCTTGCTGCCCCATCTCTGAAAGCAATTGCCTCTGTCGGGATACCTCTGCTGCCACCATTGCCATCCTTAGTTGGGGCAGCTTCCATCTTGGGACACCAGCCAGGGCCTAAGAAGACCAACATCAAGGAATCTATGGTCTCCCAACCCTCTGCCCCAGCCACCAAGCCAACCTGTAGCTCTCAACACCTGTTCCTGATCTTCCCAGTTAAGAAAATCTGCACAGATCCTGGAGCTCAGCTTTCAAAACCTCTGGAGAGCAAGGTTCATGATTGTGAAGTCGAGAGGGCAAGGGTGAGAGAAATACAATTTTGAGACTAAATTAGAGACCAAAAATTAGGAGTTCAGTATGCAACATAAGAGGCTATGACCAGGCTCTCACATCACAGGAGTAGACTCCAAAGGAGATTCCTCGGGTGCAGTCTGCCAACAGGGAACCACAATTGCTATACCCCCACTTCCAGGAGTTCTATCTTCAAGTCTCCAACGCTCCCAACCTAGTAACCTTCACCATCCTGAGGGTAAAGATACCAGCAAACTCCTGAAAACCCTACCTAGCAGATGAGAAGGGAAGAAAGATATTGAACCCCAACAGAAACAATCCTTCAATTTTCCTTTGAGATTTTTTTTTTCTTTTCCCACCCTCACATCCCCAACATTTGTGAAACCAAGTACTTTTCATGCATCAGGCTACTGAGGATTGGGATGTCTGAATAGTATATTACAGTTTTGCTTAATATTCTTTCATTTTTTTTAATTTTTTCAATTCTTTTTTTTTCTTATTTTATTTTTAAAAATCTATTTCTTTCTTTCTGTTTTTAACTTTCTACATATTTTCCTCTCACTTATTTGTTTCCCTGGAGTCTCTTTCTCTTTTTTCCGGCTAACAGCCAACTTATTTTGATTGCTCTTTCACACTTCCTATGATCTAATACATCTATGTGCTCACCTCCAACCTCATAAACTCTCATCCTATACCCCTCCCCTTTCTCTCTCTGTCCACCATTAGAAATTGAGATCCTTTTGCAAACCTACTGTTCATATTGTAAGTAATCAAACACATTATTTCTGTTTATTGTGACAAAACTGTAAACATCTTAATAGGAGATATTTGGTCTAAGGCTGCATATTGTTTGCATTGAGTGCTGTTAACATTGATCTCCCCCTTAAAGGTTTTGGAAACTGCACAGACACTATTAGTCTATAGGGTAGAAACTGTAATACCTCAGATCTGCACTGTTAGAGGGCAAGACACATGAACAACATGAAAAAAAAAAAGGAAAGAAAGGGCCCCAAACAAACCAAGCTGCTACAATAATAGAATACATTGACAGCACAGTAGAAGAAATGTAAGAGAAGGAGTTCAAGACAGACTCAGTGGAGCATGCCTGTAATCCCAGAGGCTTGGTAGGTTGAGGCAGGAGGATCACAAGTTTAAAGCCAGACTCAGCAAAACCAAGGTGCTAAGCAATTCAGTGAGACCCTGTCTCTAAATAAAATACAAAAAGAGGGCTGAGAATGTGGCTTAATGGTCTAGTACCCCTGATCAGTCCCCAGTACCCCCCCCAAAAAAGGAGTTAATTATCTTAACCAATTTAAAAACTCAATAGAAAGCAACACCAACAAAATAGATCACTTGGAAGACAGAACCTCAGTCAACGAAGACAAAAAACATAATCTTGAAAATAAAGTTGATCACACAGTGAAGATGGTAGGAAACTATGAATAGAATTTCCAAGAATTATGGAATAACATGAAAAGATCAAATTTAAGATGTATCAGGATAGAGGAAAACACAGAGATACAAAAATGAAATAATATTTTTCAATGAAATAATATCAGATAATTTCCCAAACCTAAAGAATGAAATGGAAAATCAAATACAAGAGGCTTACAGGACATCAAATGTACAAAATTATAGCAGATTCACACCAAGGCACATTATAATGAAAATGCCTAGCATACAGAATAAGGATATAATTTTAAAGGCTGCAAGAGAAAAGTATTAGATTACATATATGAGGAAACCAATTCAAATCTCAACAGATTTCTCAACCCAGACCCCCAAAGCTAGGAGGTACTAGAACAACATATACCAAGCTCTAAAGAAAAAAAAAGATGCCAACCAAGAATCTTAGATCCAGCAAAATTAAGCTCCAGATTTGATAATGAAATAAAAACCTTCCTTGATAAACAAAAGTTAAAAGAATTTACAGTGAGAAGAGTCTTCACTACAGAACATCCTCAGCAAAATATTCTAGGAGGAGGAAATGAAAAACAACAATGAAAATTAGGAAAAGGAAAAAGTACACTAAAGGGAAAGCCAATCAAAGGAGAATCCAAGTCAAATTAAAAATAAAAAAATAAACAAAAATGACTGGGAACACAAATAATATCTCAATAATAATCCTGAATGTTAATGGCCTAAATTCATCAATCAAAAGACACAGACTGGCAAAGTGGATTAAAGAAGAAGACCCAACAAGATACTGCCTTCAAGAGACTCATCTCATAGGAAAAGACACCCACAGACTGAAGGACTGAAGTATGGGAAAGAATATATCACTCACATGGACTGCATAAACAAGCAGGGGTTTCCATCCTCATATCACATACAGTGAACTTCAAGCCAAAGTCAATCAGAAGACAAAGAAGGACATTTCATAATGCTTAAGGGAATCATACATCAACAAGACATAACAATCAAATATTTATGCCTAAGCCATAGAGCATCTAAGCACATCAAACAAATCCTCCTCAATTTCAAGAATCAAACAGACCACAACATAATAGTGGGTGACTTTAACACACCTCTCTCACCAATAGATTACTCTTAAAAAAAAAAAAGAAAGAAACTATAGAACTCAGTAGTACAATCAATAATTAAGACTTAACAAACATATATAGAATATTTCATACATCAAAGAGCAAATACATTTTCTTCTCAGTAGCACAAGAATCCTTCTCTAAAACAGACCGCATGTTATGACACAAAGCAACTCTTAGCAAATACAAAAAAAAAAAAAAATAGAGATACTACCTTGCCTTTTATTGGATCATAATGGAATGGAATTAGAAATTAATAACAAAATAAAAATAGACACTACTCCAACACCTGGAGACTAAAATAATACACCATTGAATGACCAATGGATAGCAGAAGGCATAAGGGAGGAGATTAAAAAAAATTCTTAGAGGTAATTGAGAACACTGTACAACACAATCTCTGGGACACTAGGAAAGTTCATTGCATTGAGCTTATTTATTTAAAAAAAAAAAAGTCAACAATTAAATGACCTAACATTAAATCTCAAACCCCGAGAAAAAAAGAAGAAAAAAATCAGCACCCAAAGAAGAAGACAATTTGAACGTGCCGGGTGGGGTGAAGGTTGGACCTGGTAGGGAAGGGTGTGCTGAGCGAGCTCCTGAGTCTGAGCGCTTCCGTTTGTAGCAGAGGGATCTCCACACTAGCGGCAACACCAGCGGCGGGGAGCCCGTCAAAGGTAAGCTTTGCCCATGGTGGAGTAGGCCCTGCGGGATCCTGCGCTGGGTCTCCGACATGCGGACCCAGTTGCTCTGGGACGGGAGCCTGAGCCAGCCCGCTGAGGCAGAATGTGAAAGAACAGCACAATCACCGAACTCTGCCGCTGCGCCAGCAAGTCCTGGGCGGACCCCTCTGAACCAGGTGTTGCCATGGTGATGGCTGTGCAGGACAACATGGTGCAGGTGGTGGTGCGGGTGCGACCCCCCACCCCTCGGGAGTTGGAGAGTCAGCGGTGGCCTGTGGTTCAAGTGGTGGACGAGCGGGTGCTGGTGTTTGACCCTGAGGAACCTGATGGGGGCCTCAAATGGGGTGGTACCCATGACGGCCCCAAGAAGAAGGGCAAGGACCTGACATTTGTCTTCGACCGGGTCTTTGGTGAGAAGGCCACCCAACAGGACATGTTCCAGCACACCACGTGCAGAATCCTGGACAGCTTCCTCCAGGGCTACAACTGTTCAGTGTTTGCCTATGGGGCTACTGGGGCTGGGAAGACACACACCATGCTGGGAAAGGAGGGGGACCCTGGCATCGTGTACCTGACCACCATGGAACTGTACAGGCGTTTTGAGGCCTGCCAGGAGGAGAAGCAATTCGAGGTGCTCATCAGCTACCTGGAGGTGTACAATGAACAGATCCATGACCTCCTGGAGCCCAAGGGACCCCTAATCATCCGCGAGGACCCTGACAAGGGTGTGGTGGTGCAAGGACTTTCTTTCCACCAGCCAGCCTCAGCTGAGCAGCTACTGAAGATGCTGACCAGGGGGAACCACAACCGCACCGAGCACCCCACAGATGCCAATGCTGCTTCCTCCCGTTCCCATGCCATCTTCCAGATCTTTGTGAAGAAACAGGACCGAGTCCCAGGACTCACTCAGGCCCTGCAGGTTGCCAAGATGAGCCTGATTGACCTGGCTGGCTCAGAGCGGTCATCCAGCAGCAGTGCCAAGGGGGAGCGACTGCGGGAGGGTGCCAACATCAACCGTTCTCTGCTGGCCCTCATCAATGTCCTCAATGCCCTGGTGGATGCAAAGGGCCGCAAGTCTCACGTGCCCTACCGAGACAGCAAACTGACCCGCCTGCTGAAGGACTCCATTGGGGGCAACTGCCGCACAGTGATGATTGCTGCCATCAGCCCCTCTAGCCTGGCCTACAAGGACACTTACAACACCCTCAAATATGCTGACCGGGCCAAAGAGATCAGACTCACGCTGAAGAGCAACGTGGTCAGTCTAGACTGTCACATCAGCCAGTATGCCACCATCTGCCAACAGCTCCAGGCTGAGGTGGCCTCCCTAAGGAAGAAGCTTCAAGCGTATGAGGCAGGAGCCCAGGCCCCACAGCAGGGCTTCCCACAGCCCCCCAAGTTGAGCCCTCAACAGCAACACCTTCCTAGCTCCCCTTTACTGTCCCGTCCCCGCAGCCAGCCCTGGACCCCAAAACTCCACATGGGTTCTGGAGATCTTCAAGCGGGGAACCTGGGGACAGAGGCCCAGGAACAGAGGGTCATAGAAGAAAGCTCTTTAGACCAGGAGCAGATCCCAGAGGATAAGGATGAAGACCCTACTGAGGTTCCAACCCAGACACTGGAGCAGAACCTCAGACCCCCACTGTCAGAGTCTGCTGGTCTGACCCTGCAGCCTAAGCCAGTGGCCAGCCACCTATCACCACAGAACCTGGATGAGGATCGTTATAAGCACTTGGCCCTACAGGTGCTGTGCCTGGCCCAGAAACAGTATTCCCTGCTGCAGGCAGCCAACCTCCTGACCCCTGACATGATTACTGAGTTCGAGACCCTGCAGCAGCTGGTGCAAAAAGAGAAAGCTGAGCCTGGAGACAAGACCTCCAGGACTCCTGGCCAGGCTGGGAGGGCCTCCCTGATGCAGGAGCTGTGTTCAGCCTCAAAGTCTCCAGGGTACTGTGGCCCTGTGACCAAACAATGACAAGAAGATTGAGTGGCCTCATGCACACTCTGGGGATCCCACCTGAGCCTGATTGCACCCCAGCCTCAGCATCTCGATAGCCCACAGAGAAGAAGAGAAAGAGCACAAGCCTCACAGAGCCAGACAGTCCCCTAGCCCCAAAGCTGCTGACCAAGCGCCAGTGACAGTGTACATATTCATTTGTGAGTATTAATGTGTTAATATTTAAAGGTTGCTGCCTGTTTCCCCCTCATTTCCAAAGCCCACCATCAGGCCAGGGGCTCTTTTGGGCTCTGTTCCCTACCCATGTCTAACACAGAGCTCTGTGCAGGGATAGCTGTTGCCTCAGTGGAGGGTGAGGCCGGTGGGGGTGTTCTAGGGAGTCACATCTTGGCTCTTCATGGTTTCTGAGAGGGGAATCTTTAGCCCCACCCTGGCCCCTGTCCTGGTTATGATGGAGCTAATGATGGTGCCTTGATTTACAGAGGAAGCCAACTTTATTAATCTTTACCTATTATACATAAAAAGTATAAGAAGAAAGGAGAATGAATGCAGCCTTAATGTTACCACTCAGGTATAAATGCTAGTGATTCCAGGATTTACACCCTCCTGCTTCTTGATTTATGCATATATGTGTGTGTGTGTGTATACACACACACACATACCCACATTTACACACATATATGATGTATTTTTTACTATAATAATTAATAAACCATTTCCATCCTTAAAAAAAAGAAGTAGCAGACAGGAAATAATTAAAATCAGAGCTGAAATCAATAAAATTGAAACAAAAAAAGAAACAATTCAAAAAATGAAAAGATGGTTCCTTGAAAAAATAAATAAAATTGATAAACCCTTAGGCATACTAATGAAGAGAAGTAGAGAGGAAACTCAAAATTACTAAAATTTGTGATTAAAAAAAGGAAATATCATGATGGACAGTATTGAAATTACAGATGATAATAAAACTATTTTGAAAATTTATACTCCAGTAAAATAGAAAATCTCAAAGATATTGACAAACTTCTAGAGACATATGACCTAACCAAACTGAATCAGAACATAAACAATTTAAACAGATTGATTTTAAGCAATGTAATTGAAGACACAATCAAAAACCTAGCAACTAAGAAAAGCCCAGGACCAGAGAAATTCTTAGCTGAGTTCTTGAAGCCCTTTAAAGAAGAATTAACATCAATACTTTTCAAATTATTCCATGAAATAGAAAAGAAGGGAGTCATTCCAAACTCATTCTATGAAGCTAGTATCACCCTGATAACAAAACCAGGCAAAGGCACATCAAGGAAAGAAAACTTCAGACCAATATCCCTGATGAATATAGATGTAAAAATTATCAACAAAATTCTGACAAGTTGCATATAAAACATATTAAAAAGATGGTGCAACACAATCAAGTTCGACATACAGAAATCAATAAATGTAACTCACCATATCAATAGACTTAAAGATAAGAATCATGATCTCCTAAAGAGATGCAGAGAAAGTATTTAACAAAATCTAGCACCCACTCCTGTTCAAACCACTGGAAAAGCTAGGGATAGTAGCAATATATCTCAACATTGTAAAAGCTATCTATGCTAAACCCAAGGCCAGGATCATTCTAAACGGAGAAAAATTGAAAACATTCCCTCTAAGAATTGGAACAAGATAGGGATGCCCTCTTTTACCACTTCTATTCAACATAGTCCTATCCATAGCAATTAAACTGACCAAAGAAAAATTAAAGGGATATGCAGAGAAAAAGAAGAACTATCACTATTTGCCTACAACATGGTTCTATATTTAGAGGATCCAAAAAATTCCACCAGCAAACTTCTAGCACTAATAAAGGAATTCAGCAAAGTGACAGGATATAAAATCAACACCTATAAATCAAATGCATTTCTATACGTCAGTGATGAATCCTCTGAAAGAGAAATTAGGAAAATTACCCCATTTACAATAGCCTCAAAAAATAAATAAATAAAAACAAAACACTTGGAAATCAATCTATCAAAAAGGTGAAAGACCTCTACATGAAAACTACAGAACGCTAAAGAAAGAAACTGAAGAAGACCTAAGAAGATGGAAAGATCTCCCTTGTTCTTGGATAGGCAGAATTAATATTGTCAAAATGGCCATACTACCAAAAGCATTATACAAATTTAATCCAATTATAATTAAAATCCCAACAACATTCCTCATAGAAATAGAAAAAGAAATCAATCATGAAGTTCATTTGGAAAAATAATAGACTCAGAATAGCCAAAGCAATCCTTAACAAGAAAAGTGAAGCAAGGGGCATCACAATAACACATCTTAAACTATACTACAGAGCAATGGTAACAAAACCAGCATGGTATTGACACCAAAATAGACATGAAGACCAATGGTACGGATAGAAGACACAGAGACAAACCCACATAAATACAGTTATCTCATACTAGACAAAGGCACCAAAAACATACACTGGAGGAAAGATAGTGTCTTCAACAAATGATGCTGGGAAAACTGGAAATCTATATGCAGAAAAATGAAATTAAATCCTTATCTTTTTTTTAAAGAGAAAGAGAGAGAGAGAGAGAATTTTAATATTTATTTATTTATTTTTCTTTAGTTTTCGGCGGACACAACATCTTTGTTTGTATGTGGTGCTGAAGATTGAACCCGGGCCGCACGCATGCCAGGCAAGCGCGCTACCGCTTGAGCCACATCCCCAGCCCAAAATCCTTATCTTTTACCATGCACAAACTCAAAGTGGATCAAGGACCCAGAAATTAAACCAGAGACCCTGCATCTAACAGTAGAAAGAGTAGGCCCAAATTTTCAACATGTTGGCTTAGAAACTGACTTTCTTAAGAAGACTCCTAATGTGCAAGAAATAAAAATAAGAATCAATAAATTGGATAATTCAAACTAAAATGTTTCTTCTCAGCAAAGGAAACAATCAAGAACATGATGAGAGAGGCTACAGAATGGAAAAAAAATGTTTACCACACACACACATCAGGTAAAGCACTAATTTGCTAGATATATATAGAACTCAAAAACTTAACACTAAAAAAACAAATAACCCAATCAATAGATGTTCTATGGAACTGAGCAGACACTTCATAGAAGATATACAATTGATCAACAAATATATGAAAAAAGGTTCATCTCTAGCAATTAGAGAAATACAAATCAAAATTACTCTGAGATTTTGTCTCACTCCAGTCAGAATGGTAGTTATCAAGAATACAAGTAACAATAAGTGTTGGTGAGAACGTGGGGGGGAAGTACACTCATATATTGCAGGTGGGATGGCAAATTGGTGCAACCACTCTAGAAAGCAGTATGGAGATTCCTTAGAAAACTTGGAATGGAGCCACCATTTGACCCAACTATCCCATTACTAGGTCATTACTCAAAGGATTTAAAATCATCATACTACAGTGATGTAGCCACATCCATGTTGATAGTAGCTCAATTCAGAATAGCTAAACTGTGGAACCAAGCTAGATGCCCCTCAGTGGATAAATGAATAAAGAAACTGATATATACACACACACACACACACACACACACACTATGGAATACTACTAATCCTTAAAGAGGAATGAAATTATGGCATTTGCAGGTAAATGGATGGAGTTGGAAAATATCATGCTAAGTGAAGTAAGCCAATCCCAAAAAACTAAAAGCCAAATGTTTTCTCTGGTAAGTGGATGCTGATCCATAATGGGGTAGGGGTGCATGGGAAGAATGGAGAAATTTTATTTAGGCAAAGGGGAGGGAGTGGAAGTGAAGGGGCCTGCAGGTAGGAAATATGGTGAAATGAAACAGACATCATTACCCTAAGTACATGTATGATGACACGAATGGTGTGACTCTGCTTCTTGTACAACTAGAGAAGTAAAAATTTGTGCTCCATTTGTGTCCAATGAGTCAAATACTTGACATTCTTCTGTCAAGTATAACTAATTAGAACAAATAATTTTTAAAATGCACATAGTGAAGCATATCCAAAATACGCAAAATCTTAAATAGAACACGACTATATTTAAGACTATATACAATGTGTTCATTCAGATACTTTTTAGAATTGGAAATAGAGCAAATATAAGTTGGTGTTGTGGAAGTAAACATAGGTGGGGTCCATTCAATAGTTATCCAAGAACAAGGATGCCCAGTGAAATAGTCTTTTTGCTTTCTATATTCCTAATACTGAGAAGCATGAATTGAGCAATTTCAATCTGATTCAGAAGAGCAACCAAAACCAAATAGTGGTGGAATTATTTCTGGTTCTTTAGCACAGTAGAGCAACTACTAGTCAAAACAATCTATGAACTATTTCAAGGTGACTAGAAGAGTAGAAAATTCCCAACACCAAAAAAAAATGATTAATAGTTGAAGAGATGGAAATGCTTATTACGCTGATTTGATTTATTATACATTGTTTATATGTACTGTATTGCCATAATAATTTACCCCATAAAGATGTACAAATATGGCCCACATGGAGGACACAAAGGATGTGAAGCTCCCCAAGCCCCCTACATCCCTCAAGGGATGACTGTTGTGCTGCTGTGATCCTTCACCTCCTGTAGATGCATCCTGACCTATCTCCACATTTGTACACTGAAGATGCAACATCTTGATTAATTTGCTTAAGGAATGTTCCTCAAATTACACCATTTCAAAATGTTTTGGCCATTGCCGTGCTCTTGATTGAAAGATGAGAAAATCCTTGAAGAATGAATACCTGGAGAAGAGGAACAGCATGAAGACTCAAGGCAACGTGATGAGAAAGACATTTTTCTGTCCTCTAGAACAATCAGAAAAATAAGTTTCATTTTTACCAGATGTCTTGGGTGAGAGAAAGACTAAGAACTTTTGGTTGGTATCTGAAAGAATTCTTTCTTATTTGATCTCCAGAATCCTTTGACTGGAAAGTGACCCATGAGGAATCAAATCAATGGAGAAATATGAAAACCTGGATTTGGAATATTTGTTGAGCAGAGCCTTTAGTAGATCAATTCCACCAACACACCTGACTTCCTCAATGTTTCTTCCCTTTGTCTACATCCACGTAATATTTAATGATTTATCACCACCAGTAAAGTCATTTAAGCAACAAAAAATGTTCAAATATTATGTATCAATAAAAAAGAAATTGTAAAAATTTGATTCAATTAAAATT